AAAAAAAAAAGGAAAAAAAAAAATTCAAAAAAAATATTTTTTTTAGATAGATTTTGAAAGATATAAATTTGTCAAACTCATTTTAAAATAAGCATAACAATCATTACAAAAATTAATATTTTTCTTGTAAAATAATTTTTTCAATCTTGAAATGATCCTTTAATTTCAACATTATTTATTAATTACATTAAAAAAAAAAAAAGTTACTAATATACTTGGATTGATTTTTTTTATAGGAAATGTTAGTTTTCTCTGTTTTCATATATAAATATATATATAAAATATATTACCTTAAAAAAAAGTTAGCTATGAAGGTTTCTCAGTGTTTTATTTTTCCTATTGAAAAAATACTGTATAATACGTGGTTTCTTTATAATGTTTAATAAAATGATTCTATTAGCTTTTAACTTCCTATTGCTATTGGTAGAATATATATACAATTCTTGGCATAAATAATGAAATATAAATGTAATCAGATAAAAATCAATATGTATAGCTAAATATATAATTGTAATTAAACAAAAAACTGTATTTGTACCTTTTGTTAAAATATATATATATATATTGTTTCATAAATAGCGAAATATTAATTTATTTAATATAAAAATTATATTAATTATATTAAATAGTTATTAATGGTTATTATACATCATCCCCACTATCATCTTCAATATCTTCCGTATCATCATCATCATCATCATCTTCATCTTCACGTTCGCTTTCATCTAATGCTACTGTAACAGGAGGTTTCTTTATCAAAAAAAAAAAAAATTACAATATATTAATTAGATTTTAAATTAATATTAATATAATAAATTAAATTTATTTTGGTCATTGCTTACTTCTATAATTGTCGATTCGCTTAAAAATGGAACAGTACATCTTCCTTTGAATGAATTACGTATTCCAGCATTGCTTGATAAATCCCAAATAAATACCTTCCCTTCTGAACCAGCCACGGCCAATTGAAAAGGTGAATCTGGACAAAATTGTGTGGTAAAAACTTTACCCTATAAAAAAAGAAAAGAGCAAATAAATATAAGTGATATCATAAATAATAAAAATATCTTTTATTGTTTGAAATAATAAAATAGTTACCACTCCCAAATCTCGACTTGTGACCATATTAGGTTTCATATCTTTAACATCCCAAACTTTAACCAACTTATCAGTAGATCCCGTTACTATACATCCTTGAATAGAACTACTTACATCCAATGACGATACAGCAGAGTCATGGGCATGTAAAGTGAAAACAGGAGATGCTTGATTAAAGTTTCTAGCATCAAAATATAATACTAAACCCGATTCTAAGCTAACATAAAAATATTGTGGTGAAAATGGGTCCCATTTAATACATTCCGGATCTGCGTTACCAGTATTCCAAAATGCAACACTTGTAGGAGCGCGACTATCAAATGCTGCAACACTTTTGTCGAAAGAAGCTGTAAGCAAAATTGTTGAGTCTATTGGATGCCATTCAACTTGTTGAACCTATCAACATTACATAAATTAATAAAATAATAATATTTAAATGAATCCTTTAATAAAAAGGGTTTACCTTGTCTTTGTGATGATTAAAAGAATGCGCACATTTTAAAGATTGAAGGTCCCATAATTTTACAGTAGTGTCAGCAGAAGAACTTGCTAATAAATTTCTAATCGTAAAAAAGAAGATAAATATCTTAAATAGAAATATTTAATTCGAAAAAAAAAAATTTTTACCTATGATTCTTATTCCATGATAAGGACATAACCGAATCGATATGAAAATCAGCATTCAGCTTCTAATAAACCGAGAATAATCAGTAAAAAAAATGATACAATTTACGAAAGAAAAAAAAAAGATAACTTACTTTTGACTTCTTCTTTTTTTGATTTCCTTCTTGTTTGCCCAATATTGCATCAGGATACATTGAATCGATAGTATCGAGATCCCAAATTTCAATCTCTGGATCAAATGTTCCTACAGCAATATAATTTCCACTACCTTCAGTTCCAGCTTTCCTACCCAATCTAAAGTCCAACCATTCCAAACATAAAGGAAAGGATGGTAACATTATATCATGATGTACATAGAGATTATCCTCAGCTTCTTCGTAAACATAAATTTCCAATTGTGAGACTTCATCTTCAGTTTTTGCTGCTACCAAAATATTATCAGTTTGTAGAATTCGTACATCCTCTTTTTCATCATCCTACATGTATTTGAAAATCCAACTTATAATCATGATGTATAGATGTACAAATCAAAACATTTAATTTTACCTCATCATTAAGAGTTATATACGGATCATCTTCATTTGAAGTGTAATACGCCAATCCTTTCATATTTCCAAATAATGACATGGCTAAATCATTAATTTTTTGAAATTGAAATTGAAATTGGAAATATAAATTTTATAATGAAATTCGTATTAAAATTTTTTTTAACTAAATAAGTACTTTAATATTACGTTGTTTATCGTCCTCATCGTCGTCATATTGATCTAAATTATATATGGCCAATTCAGGATCAATTTCATTGTCATCAGTCATTTTATTCTGATTTCTTAAACAATTAAATAAATAATGATCTTTTTTTAATAATTTCATTCATAATAAAAATTTATTAGTTAATTAATATAAAATTGTACATATAAATACTTTTCAGAAACTTCCTCCGTTTCTTCTAATGTTATTGCTTCCAATTGATTTATTCTATCATATTCTTTATCATCAAGATCATATTTTTCAGGTATTTCTGCTGCTACACCTTTACGAACCCAATATATTGCTGAAATCATTTTTTTTTTTTTTTTTT